TAAATAAATAAATAAATAAATAAATAAATTTGGGAGCTGGGGAGATAACTCAGTGGCTTACGTGCCTGCCTGTCAAGCACAAGGCCCTGAGTTCAATCCCCAGTACCAAAAAATAAAAAATGGCTGGCCATATAGCTCAATGGATTAAAGCACCTGCTTAGACAGAACACAGGGGCCAGGGGTTTGATCCCCTGCCTGCTGCACTGGCCCCTTCCCTGCCGTGGGACGAGCTGAGATGGTGAATGAGAATGGGCATGGTGGTGCGCACCTATAATCCCAGTGCTTGGGAAGGTGAAAACGGAAGGATCACTACTAATCTGATCTGTGTAGTGAGACCCTGTAGATCCTGTACTAAATGTATTTTTTAAATTAAATTTATTTATTTATTGGATAGGCCTTCAGTATTCATTCTCTTGCTTCTGTTGGTTATGGTAGTCATTTGAAATAGTTACATTGGTTTGTTTTGCTTACATTCCATTTTAAGTCCCTGTCATTGTTACTGTTGTAATTTTATTTTTGAATATGTGTTCAAAAATAGAATAGAAGCATGCTTTCAAATTTGAAATAACACCAAAATATATTTCTCAAAGGTGTGATATAATTGCCTCTTCCCACATCCAACTCTAAACAACTAGTCTGATTTCTGTCCTCATAGTTATTCCATTTTCCAAAATGTCATTTGAATAGAATCATATAATATCTAGTCTTTTGTTTCTGGGTTCTTAGTAGTATAATGCTTTTTAGACTCATCCACATTGCTGCATATATCAATAGTTCATTCTTTTTATGTATTTTTTTGGCCACAACTTACTGGTACTGTTATTTTATAGATGACAAGACTGATTCACAGATTAGTTAAATTAGAAGTTTTGGACCCTGGATTTGAAGTTTAGTAGCTTGTTTTTATTTGATTGATTGATCGGTTGATTGATTGATTGATTGATTGATTGAATGTATTTTGTACAAAGTCTACAGGGTCTCACTACACAGATAGGACTTGTAGTGATTCTCCTGTTTTCAGCCTCCCAAGCATTGGGATTACAGGTGCGCACCACCATGACCAGTCACAGTTGCCATCTCAGAGCACATCAGGGGCACAGCACGCTGGGGATTGAACCCTCAGTCCCTGTGTCTGCCTAAGCAGGTGCTTTAATCCACTGAGGTATATGGCCGGCCCAGCAGCTTATTTTTAAAGTTCTTAATTTTTGAGATATTTTAAAATAGGAAGTTGTAAATATATTACATTGAGATATTGTGAATCCTTCAGTCAGCTTCCTTCGATAGTTATATGACTACAGCATAAAATCAAAACCAAGAAATTTACATTGATATATTGTTTATATATAGTTATATATCACTTTATTACACTTGTCTAACTACTACTACAGTTGGTATATAGAATTATTCTGTTACAGTAAAGATCTCCCACCTACTCCTTTTTTGTAGTCGTACTCCTCTCCTCATAATCATCTTTAACTTGTGGAAACCTCTCATTTGTCTTCATATCTATATTTATGTCACTTCAAGAATGCTGTATAAATGGAATCTTAAAATATGTGACCTTTTCAGATTTCTTTATGTTTTGTGTAGTTTCTTGCACATTGTATAGTTGAGTCACCCATCTCTGTCTTCTATTTGGTGACATTTAACATTTACTTTTAATGCAATTATTGAGATATGAAGCTGAAATCTGCCATTTTGTTATTGTTTTCTGTGTGTTCCCTGTTTTGTTTTGTTTTTTTCTAATTTTTAATTTTTTTTTTTTTTTTTTT